ACTTGGCAATGGTAATTGAAAGAGTTGGTGATAAATTGAATTACGCCTTTGCTTTTATTGTTCTGTTGTTGGTGGTAGTTGTCATTCTGGTGTATTTGAAATAGTATATGTGATGTAGGGTACACTGACTATGACTTGTATTGTAGGTTGAATGTGTTAGAAATGGTTTTGGAAAAAACAGATTTTTTCTTAACTTTGGTCTATTTTTTAGGTGGGACCCATGCGCCAAAGTTAGTGGGTCTAAGTGGTAATGCGTTCTATGCCGCGTTGTGATTCACGTAGTATATTTGGTTGTTCAAAACCATTATCGGGTGAATGAGAAATTGAAGCCAAAGTGAGCTCTATGGAAATGGAGTTTTGGTGGAAATTCTTTAAAAGTTTGAATTAAAGGCTTGTCCCACATTGGTTTGGTGGGCAGGTTAGACCTATTGGACCCAAAAATGGGCACACACGCGCGTGCTGCTGTCCTTCCGTCCGTCCATCCGGTCAGTAGGGCACGGGTGTGAGGTTGGGTTGGGCTGGGCTTGTCTGGCCTAATACTTATCTTTTCGGGCCAAAAATATTTGAATTTATTTTTTAATTTTTTGGAAAATAAATTCTGACCATTTAAATTCAAATTTCGGTTGGAAAATTTGCACCTTTCTATACAGATTTCAAATCTGTCAGAACAGATTCAATTCAAAACCCTTACTTGTTTAATTTAAATTCAAACAGATTTGTGTCTGTTTAATTTAAACCGAACAGGTACTGTACCTTTTGAATTGAAATCAAAAAGCCACCATTGCATCTATAAATAGACAAAGTCCCTCATTTGGTTTCGTCACTTCAATTTTTCGTCCAAATTCTGCCATTGCTCTCTCTACATTTTGCTGCATTATTTTCTTTTGAGAAAGAGTATAAAATACTCAGTGTGTTCGTTGTACAAATATATTGTAGTTCTGCATAGACTGGTCCCTTCCATAAACTAACACGGTGTGTGTTTATTGTGCAAATAATTGTAGTGCTGCTATTATTCGTTGTTGATCATTTTATCCCGGGAGATAGACGTCCACAATTTGAAAGCACCGTGGAGAGAACGAATCTGTCTTAAGGACACAGTATTAAACACTGGACTTGATTAGAATTTTGTTCAATAAATACATAAGGTTAATAATTAATTTACTTTATGTTTTATTTATTTATTTTTATTAGATTCTGATTTTGTTTTTGTAACAAAATAAGAATCTATTATTTTATTTATTTTTTTTACTGATTTGATTTTTGTAATTAAACAGTCTTTCTCCTTTCTTTATTTCTTATGTTTGTTGTTAAGTACACAAACATTATTTATTCTTAATATAGTGAAGATTGTCCAACAGAATGTGTATGTAATGTATGGTAGACTGCTGCCATTTTGTTGAAGTGGTAATGAATGTAATGGCTTTTTTTGTTTAATGATCTATGTTCTATGTACCCATTTAATATTCACCTTCATTATTGAAAATATATGGAGAGAGAACTTATAAAATGTTAGCAAATTGTGAGATTAATTGTCAATTACACTAAGTAGTAATTATTTGGATATGGATAGTACTACTACGATTATTTGAAGTTGCGATTTGAGATGGAGGTGTTTGTGTCAATTATACATCTTTTACCCATTGACACACCTGGTTGCAAGTCTTGGCCAATTACTAAAGGATGTGGATAATACTACTGCTCTTATTTGAAGTTGAGATTTGAGAGGTTTTTTTTTTTTTTAATGCAATTAATCAAGCAATTGATTTTAATCTCTTCAACAGTGACATGCATAAGAGTCCAGATCCTCTGCCGTAGTTTCCTGCGGTTGCCCCTGCAGTGGTTCAAAACGACGTCATTTTGAACCACTTTTTTTTTTTTCCTTTTTTTTCTCTCACTTCTTATATTTTGCTTTAGCCTCTTTTTGTTGTCTGGTGTTTGAACCCTAGTGAGACGAATAGAGAGGTGACTACGGCGAGGAGAGGAGAAGCAGCGGTGAGGCGAGGGGAAGCGGCAAGAGACGGACAGAGAGGGATTGGCGACGGCGACAAGGTCTGTTCGTCTTCATTCTCATTTTTTTCCCTTCGTCCCTTCGTGTTCATTCTCATTTTTTTTACTTATATATATATATAAGTATGATTTGTTGCCATAGTTTGATTTGTTGTTCAAAGAAATAGATGCTTTTGATTTATTGAGTGTGATGGGTTCGATTTATTGAGTTTGATGGATTTGTTGTTGATTTGTTGCCATAATTCTAGGGTTTGTTGTGGAAACAGATTTGTGTTTAATTTGTTCAATTTTTTCCCAATTTTTTTGTGTTAATCTGTTGATTTGGTGCTTCATCTTTTCTAGTTGGAATAATGACTTTAATCTGGGCCTCAAGAATGATTGGGAACAGAAGGTAGGAACATGGGGTTCTATAGTATAAAGAAACATTTTTCCAATTTTCATTGAAGTTAAAGTTGAGGAAACATTTTTCCAATTTTCCTTTTTGTGGTGTAGGAACAGGGGGTAATACTAAAACAAAGCATATTGTTGTTGCATAAACTTAGTGAAAGAAATTAAAACAAAGCATGATTTTGAACAGGTTCGACTCTGTTAATTATTATGTAAATAACTTAGTAAAAGAAATTAATTTTTTTTTCCTTTTATTTGATTGAGTTCTGAAAATGAGAAGATAAAAATAGATCATTGTTAAAATAACCCATTGTTTGGTTAATTACTCATAAATATGAACGTGTATAAATAATTTCATTTTCTTTCTTTCTTTTCTAATCTATGTTTAAATATAGCTGTAGAGATATAATATTTGGAAACCCTTCAAATTATAGGAGAGAAAGATCAATAGATGTTCTCTTTGACAATTTTTTCTTTTTTAATCTCATATATATATGTATATAAGCTGACAGACCACTTGACCTCTTAGTATATATAGCTAACAATGTGTTTTGAAACACAATTTAGTTCACAAGGCCCATTAGCATCAAGGTTTTTATTAGATTATAGAAGAAACCTTTTATTATAATTGACGAGGCATATGTTAAAATTTAACATTGCATCTCTAGGTACATTTATAGATCATATTTTCTCATAGAATTAACTAAACATCATAAGCAACTATTTGTGTTTCTTGAGGCAATTAAGCGCGCATGATTTTGAGCAGGTTTCAAATTTCTTCAAATCTGCAACAATAACAAATCTCATAAGAATTATTAACTCATTAACCCCAAGTTTGGGTGTCTGATCTAACTAAACCCATATTTCTAACTAACTCACAAAGAAATATTAAAACAAAGCATGAAAGACCTTGTACTTGTGTCTTATTCCTGAATCAATTCCCCAAAACCATATATGACTAGGAATGAACATGAACATGAACATGAAAATGACATTAAGAATTAACATGAACATGAAAATGACAATGGTTATTAGACAAATCATTGATTATTGTTTTATTTTACATCTTTGTTTGAATGTTGTCTTAAGTTATAATGGACTGATTGTGTCATAAAATGCTCTTACTAGGATCATGTCAATGGGTTCAAACATTGATGTTGGATATTTGCAAAATAGAAGATGCAATTGTGGAAAAAAAAACTGCAGTGTTCATATCAGAATCAGAGAAAAATCTAGGGAGGCTGTATTTCAAGTGTGTAGATAGGATGTGCGAGTATTTTGCGTGGGGAGCGGCTCCGACTAGGAATGCATCAAATATCCAAAGGAAAAGTAAAGCTAGTCATATGAAGAATAAAGATGAGAGAGGCTATGATTATGATTTTGACAAACTCAATGAAATTATAAATAGATTAGAACGAGTTGAGACAAACCAAGAAGCTATGAAACTGATTATGTTCACAACAATAGTGTTGGTTGGTTTTACCATGCTAATAGCACTACTAAAGCAAATGTAACCTTTTAGTTATTTATTTTATTATTTTTTTTTTTGGTGGTTGTACTTGGGTTTTGAATTTAGTGAACCTTAAACTATGAGTTTTGATATTTAAAGCTTAATGAAATTGCATATGCTTGACGAATGTGATGCGCTTCTTTTTTGTTTCTGTCAATGAAGTTGCTTTCTGATTCAATCTTTTCATTCATTATTTTATATTGTTATTGTTGGTTAGGTCATACTTCTTCTTATCAAGATTTGTTCTTCACTTGTGAAATGAATCTATCTGTACAAAACAAAATAAATTTACATGCTTGACAACATAATAAATCTGTCCACAACAAAAAAAATCTGTCCACAACATAATATCTTTCCATAACATAATAAATTTGTCCAACACAAAATACATCAGACCAAATCTGTCCAAAATAAATGAAATCTGTCCAAATCTATCCAGATCATTATAAATCTGCCCACAACATAATAAACATGTCCAACACAAAATAAACCAAACCAAATTTGTCCAATACAAATTACATCAGACCAAATCTATCCAAAACAAATAAAATCTGTCCAAATCTGTCCAGATCATTATAAATCTGTCCACAACATAATAAACCTGTCCAACACAAAATAAACCAAACCAAATCTGTCCAACACAAAATACATTAGATCAAATTTGTCCAAAACAAATGAAATCTGTCCAAATCTGCCCAGATCATTATAATCTGTCCACAACATAATAAACCTATCAAACACAAAATAAACCAAACCAAATCTGTCTAACACAAAATAAATCAGACCAAATCTGTCCAAAACACATGAAGTCTATCCAAATCTGTCCAGATCATTTTAAATCTGTCCATAACATAATAAATCTGTCCAACCCAAAATAAACCAAACCAAATCTGTGAAACACAAAATACATCAGACCAAATCTATCCAAAATAAATGAAATCTGTCCAAATCTATCCAGAACAAAATAAATCGATCCACAACATAATAAATCTGTCCAACACAACATAATAAATCTGTCCAACACAAAATAAACCAAACCAAATCTATCTAACACCAAATACATCTGTCCAAAACAAATGAAGATAAAATAAACTTCTCAGGGATGTCCATCTACATGACTATCAGCAGGACTATGTGACGCTTGCGAGACTTGGACTGCAAAGTGTTGAACACTTGTACCTCGAAGCAACTCCTGAAAAGATCTGTGAGTAGGATACACAGAAGGCATTGACTGTCCCTACAATAGACCAAACCATCTATTAAACTTTGATTACAATGTATACTATATTTTTAATGTAAACTATGTAACCAATGATAACTCACATCATATGTACCATACGTAAGAGGAGGACCACTTGTACCACCCATGAGAACTTGAGGTCGATGTTGAGATGGAGAAATGTAGATATCATGACGATGATCCTAAATACAGCCAATATAAAGTATGTAACCAAAAATTTTGAAAAACGAAAGAAACATTATTGAACATTAATATTACCTGATTATAATTACTACCCATGACGAAACGAGGTTGTGATTGAGAAATATAGACACCAACACCATGATCCTAATACAACCAATATAAAGTATGTAAACAAAAAAATTGAATAAAAAAAGAAACAATATAGACACACAAATAAATATTACCTGATTAGATTTACTACTCATGATGAAACGAGATTGTGATTAACCTTGGGAAGTATAAATAGCAGCACCCGACTGCATTGCCAGGCAAACCAATTAAAGATAATAAAAATTAAATGCCAGGCAAACCAATGAAATGATATAAAGTATTACATATTACCTGAATAGAATTACCACCCATGACGAAATGAGGTTGTGATTCACCTTGAAAAGTATAAACAGTAGCACCGGCCTACATTGCCAAGCAAACCAATTAAAGATAACAAAAATTAACCAAATAATGAACGAACTGAATGAAGGGAATTCATAAAACTAACCATATAAAGACCACATTACTATTACATATTACCTGAATAGAATTACTACCCACAATGAAATGAGGTTATGAGTCACCTTGGGAAGTATACACAGTAGCACCTAACTACATTGCTAACCAAACCAATGAAAGATAAAAAAAAATTAAATGCCATATGGATAGTTCATTATTTGCTAATAGTGAATGGACTTAATGAAATGAATTCATAAAACTAACCATATAAAGACCATATTACTATTAAATATTACCTGAATAGAATTATTACCCATGCCGAAATGAGGCTGAGATTCATATTGGGGAGTATAATCAGCGGCACCCTACATACAACGAAAAACCTTAATGAAAATGGGTCACTAATAAAAAAAATCAATGTTTTAGTTTATTAATCTACTGTATTTTAATTATACGCAATTTTTCATGTCCAAACCTAAATAGATTGCATCATTTTCTTCTTTGCAATAGATTTTTCCATCCTGCCTTTGATCCTCATTCTTCTCTTACTAGTCGATTCTCTTTTCTTCAGTCCGTAGCTTGGATTGGACAATCTGCTTCATCACTATGTGGGCATGTGTTGCTTGACGAATTTCTCAAATCAGTTACCTCCACTTGACCACAAATGTGGACACTTAATTTGTCTTCAACCATTACACTCAATTTTTCACCTTTTGAAACTAACAACTGATAAGTTTCTTTACTTTCAGCAGCTCTACTCGCTATTGCTCTAAACATGGTCATTAATGATCGATATCGGTCACTTTGATGTAGTTTCACATCAGCCTTTACTTCATACCCACGTCTATCTTTCACACTTTCAGCCCTTGCTGTTTTAGTCCATCGTTTGAGTATATATTGTGGAGGAAGTTCCATTGCATTGAATATATCTCTAAGCACTTTCACACAATGTCGACATAGTATGCCCTTCACTTCAAACTTCTTGCAACTGCAACTCAAAGAACCCCCTCTATCCATTGTCACAATTTTATCTTTTTTTCCACCTACCATTGTTCTTATTGTGAATATGGTACTCTCACTATCATTAATAGTGCCTATAATGGATGCTTCAATGGACTGCACGTACTCATTTTGGAATTCCTCAAAAATTGTTTTCGTGTAAATCTCTGCCACTTGCTTTAACATCAAAGTTGGAATTAAAACCCTCAGCAATTTTTGGGACAAATTATACTCGGCTTCAAATTCCTTATACCTCTTCTCATAAAGCACCCTCTCAAAATGCATGAAGAACTCCATCAAGTTATGGTCACAATTCAGATAATCTTTCAAAAATGCATTGAAGGATTCACTAAGTTGAGTAGTACTCATTCCAGCTGCCCAAGAATTCATAATATATGGCCATTCCCATTTCTCCTTCACGCGAAAAGTCTGCTCTAACCAATGATTGTCGCATGCATCATACTTATCAAGCATTTGGTCCCATTATATTCGAAATTCTTCTTCATCATCAATGTCATGCATAAATTTTGAAAACACAGCCTTGACCCCTACATCATCGAAAACAGAACATACATGCTTGACAGCATTTTGCATCAAATGTCACGTACAAAGACGGTGGTTTGTATTAGGCATGAAAATTGGAATGGCCTTAGCCATCGCAGCATCTTGATCTGTGAAAATAGTTTTCGGAGCTTTGTTTGACATTGCCTCCAGAAAAACTTGAAACACCATGTAAAAGATTCAGCAGTCTCATCATACATCAACGCTGCACCGAATACAACTGTTTCTCGATGATGATTAAATCCAACAAATGATCCAAAAGGTCTATGCTCGTTATTTAGTTTGTAAGTAGTGTCAAATGTCACTACATCACCAAACTAAGCATAGTCCATGATCATTTGAGCATCAGCCCAAACTATATTACTTATCTGCTCTTCATAATCTAATTGGACTGCATAAAAAAAAGATGGATTTTCCACAGTTTTCTTGCGAAAGTAATGCAACACACTACCTGCTTCTCCATATTCCTAATCTTTTTGTCTCTTCGATCTTAGGTAATTTTTTTGGTCCAATTTGGTAAAACCAAGTGATGCTCTTCCACCAGATTCCCTACCAAATAGTTCATAAGCAGACCTAAGAGGAATTCCAGATTCTGAAGCTAATTCTACTTCAATTGCTTGGGTGGTAGATATTTTTCTTTGGGATAGCAACATATGAATGCAATCTTGAGGCACAAGATCATGATTATGATGTTTAACAAAATCACAAGCAATATATTTTCTTGAAATTATATCTAACTTGATACTAAACCGGGCACCACAACCACATCTTACCTCTTGTCTCGGATTTTTGACAAGTGGATCTCGTTTGTCAATACCAAGACTTCCCTCTTTGTAACATACAAACGTCCGTGATGTTATCTCCTTCGTATGTTTGTTCTTGTTTGCATAGGCCTTCCTAATACTAAAGCCCACATTTCCCCCATACGTATTGTAAAAGTCATATGCGGCTTGTTCAGAGTCAAATGACATTCCCACTTTTGGCTTCCAACCACAATCATCAACAATATTATTTTCTTCCATTACCTGCAATTCATATATATAAACCACATTTATACTTAATTGCAGGTTCTGGGAGTCAACCACATTTATACTTAGTTGCAGGTTCATATATATAAACCATATAATGGAAGCAAATTATATGAATACGCAAATAAATGTATGAATCAGAAAATAATATTTACAAGTAAATGTGATTAACTATCTAACAACAAATCTGAATCCACTAGAACAGATCAATGTGATTAACTATATATATATAACATAAAATTTTATATGGAAAAATATGACTTATATATATAGAACATAAAATTTACCTAGTTCAGTGAGTGAACCCATTTCATATGAAAAAAATCTGAATTAATTGATTTTAAAAAGATCTGAATCATGGGTTAAAATTTGAATCAAATAGATTAAAATATGAATTAATTGATTTCATATAAATTAAGTGAAATGGGTTAAATAAATCAAGATATATGGGTTAAGTAACTGAACCAAACCATCTATGAATCAACAACAGATTAATTGATTTCAAAAAAATCTGAATCATGGGTTAAAATCTGAATCAAATAGATTAAAATCTGAATTAATTGATTTCATATAGATTAAGCGAAATGGGTTAAATAAACCATCCAGGTTTTAATAATAACCAATCTATGAATCCCCAACAGATTAAGTGACTGAACCAAACCAAAATCAATAACAAATCTATGTATATCTATATACATACATATATATATAACAACAAATCTATACATATATACATATAATATATATATATATATAACAGCAAGATGATGAAATAGACCTCGTCGTCGCCGCAATGTCGCCTTCTCGCCATCGCATCGGCGCTGGACTCACCGTCGCCCATGATCCTTTGCTCGCCATCGCGCTGCTCCTCCATCTCCGCCATCTCTTTCGTCTCTCAGTTCCTCTCTCAGTTCGCGTTTGTTTTCTTTCAGTTCCTCACTCCAACTTTCAGTCGCCTCTCATGATGCCTCTCTCTCTCTGCTAGGGTTCACTGACTCAGATCGATGGTGCAAAGGCGAAGAAGACGACACAGAGAAGAGAAAATAGGGGAAACAAGGGAAATGAAATTTTTGAATTAAAAAAAAACACTAAATAAAACGACGTCGTTTTACCCAAAAGGACATCATTTTGGAGACCACCGTAGGAACTACCGCAGGAAACCATGGCAGATGATCTGGACTCGCATACATAAATCATTTCATGATTGTGCAAGGGAATCCAAGTGCATTCATCTTAAATCATTAATAAACACATCTTAAATTCTACAAGAATCCAAGTGCATTCATCTCCAAACAAAACAAATTTGACCTACAACATGAACTACAAACAAAACAAAACAAATGGACCTACCTAGTGACCCATCCCAAACAAAACAAAATCAGCTTAACAAACAAATTTGACCTGCATAGTGACCTGTCCCAAGTGTTACTACATATGGACTACAACATGAACTACAAACAAAACGTTCAACCGATTGTGAGGCACAAATAGCAGCAAAACAACACAAATTTCAAGCAAACAACACAATCTTCACTGTATTAAGAATAAATAATGTTTGTGTACTTAACAACAAACAGAAGAAATAAATAATGTTTGAAATATGAAGTACCTTCCACCTTTTCGTGGTCATCCAAACCCTGAAAAAAAAATGAAAACCAGCAATTTAGCACCAAAACAGCATCATTTTAGCACAAAAAAATACCAAAAAATAGCAGCAACACAGCACAAATTCAGCAGCACTTTGAAACACAAAATAATAGTAATTCACCACCAAAACAGCAGCAATTCACTAGCAATAAACAACATTAATTTCAGCACAAAAAATGACCAAAAAATAGTAGCAACACAGCACAAATTCAGCAACACTTTCGAGCACAAAATAATAGTAATTCACCACCAAAATAGCAGTAATTCAGTAGCGACAAACAACATTAATTCAACACAAAATTCAGCAAAAACAATATCAAAATAGTAGCAAAAGTACCTCAGTAAATAGCTACCAATTATTTTTTGGTTGACAATCTGTATTTGAGGCTTCAGAATCTTGAAACCCAATTTCATACCTATCTTGAAGTAGTGTCATAAATGTTGGTTAAGCACAATATGCCAAATTGTTTGCCTACAATGAATTCATATTATATTAGGCTTCATAACAAGATGCAAATGACCATATTATACCGACCAAAAAAAAAAAACACGAAAAGAAAAACTAATTGACAAAATCTCACTCACATTATATGTGGGATATATGAATGGAGGAGGAATTGAAGTACCACCCATGGCAAAGGAATGAGGAGGAGGAGGAGCAAGAGGAGGATGAAAAGGAGTAACATTTTTATGAATGTAGACATCTCCTCCAACAGATAATGGAGAAGGTCTCACTGTTAGAGCAGCAACAGGTTGTGAAGAACTCGCAAATGTAGCACAGGATTTCTTTTTAAAGCTTGCTTGCAATGCCAACTCACATGAACCTTTTATCCTCCTTTCGTCCTTACTAGTTGGATGTTTTTTTCTTCAATCCTATTGGAATTTGCACAAGAAGATTGTTGTCTTCAGAACCCAGTTCCAAGCTTTGAGGTTGATCATCAATACTTTGTTCTTTTTCGATACAAAAATGGACACTTATCTTATTTTCAACATTTGCACCTAATGCAGCGAGTTGTGAACAACAAAAATCATAAGTTTCCTCATTTTTAACAGCTCTACATGCTATTGCTCTAAATGCAGTCATCAATGTCTTATACTATGAGGCTTGTTGGAATTTAACATCTACTTGAATCTCATTCCCCAACTTGTCTTTCACAGCTTCTGCTCTTGCTTGTTTAGTCTATCTTCATAACCTTCAAACAGTGACTACACAAAATCCTTTTCCTTTCAAACTTTGTACAACTACAAGTTAAAGAGCCATCCATCTCCATCTTCACTTTCTTTGCATTTTTCCCAATAGCATCAACAATTGTGTATAGGCTACAACCATCATCGTATGCAATTGCTTGTATGTCTGATTCAATAGAAAGAAAATACTCATCTTGAAACTCCTCAAAAATATTTTTAGTGCACACATTACCCATTTGACCTAACATTATGAATGGCGTTCTCACCCTTGGCAACCTTTGGCATAAAGCATATCCAGCTTTTAACTCCTTGTACCGCTTCTCACAAATTACCCTTTCAAAATGCATGAAGAATTCATTTAAATTAAAATCAGAACGAATGTAATCCTTCAAAAAAATATTAAAAGATTCACTAAGTTGTGTTATACTCATTCATGTAGCCCATGTTGATCTAACATATGGCCAGCCCCATTTTTCCTTCACCCCATAAGTCAACTTCAACCAATGATTATCTTGAGAATCATATGTATCAAGCATTTCCCCCCACTTTATTTTCAATTCATTTTCATTCTCAATATCAAACATGAATCTATTCAATACACCTTTCACCCATTTATCTTGAAAGAGACAATTAACATGCCTTAATGCATTTTGCATCAAATACCAAGTGCACAAACGGTGACTTGTGTCAGGCATGACAATGGGTATGGCCTTAGCCATTGCAGCATCTTGATCGGTAAACAAAGTTTTTGGTGCATTTTTTGACATAGCCTCTACAAAAGTTTGAAACAACCATACAAATGTTTCGGTAGTCTCATCATACAACAAAGCAGCACCAAAAACAATTGTTTCTCTATGATGATTAAATCTTACAAAAGATGCAAATGGCCTATGCTCTTTATTTAACTTGTAGGTAGTATCAAATGTAACTACATCGCCAAATTGGGCATAATCTATGATCATTTGTGCATCGGCCCAAAACATATTCGTTATTTGCTCCTCATTGTCTAATTGAAAAGCATAAAAAAAATGATGGATTCTCCAAATATTT